CGAATGTAAATTGAACAAAAAATCTTATTTACAAGAGGATGATGTTGGATAGATAAAAGATACCAAAGCTAATTATAGGAAAAGGTCTAGCAATAGAGGTTTTTTCACCACCACGTGACGGCAGCCATGTTAAATGGCAGGAATAATACAGTCGTTTTACACATGCATATCAAACATTGAGCGTGGTATTTCCCTGTGTCTGTTGTCTGCGAGGCAGACCCACAAGTTAGCATCGTCCACGTATCCTTCCTAGATTTTTCTAAGGTTTTTCTTTTTTTACTTGTCTTTTTTTTTCTTTTCTTTTCTTCTTCAAAAATGTTCATGTCGAATTCGTTATAAAACGACGGTCTTTTTGTTTGCCGCTTTTCCGCACAATCCAAATATGGAATTGATCATACCATATATGAAGTGAGCTTTCTCTACCTCCAACTTCGACACTTCCAACTTCTACATATAGAGTAAAGTTTGATGTGAGAAATAATTCAATTCCCGAGAGCAAAGGGATTTTGTTGTTCTGCCATCTGGCCAAGCAGTATTATTGTATGAGCACGTGATGGTTCAAAACCTCTATTCCTAGTACAGGTCTGATAGGTTATTTCATAAGATTGGTACTTTTGTCTTTGGCCTGATGGGATACCGAATCACATTAGCGTACTGACTTAACGCCTATTTCAAAAAACGTTGTCGGTCGGAAATCTGAAACCGGATTGTGCCCTCATTGTATAAAAATAAGTCCAAAGATCTCCTGCACTTTTCTGTGGACTTTGGCTTTATCTAAGATATAAGTATTTTTACACAAGTGAATATAATAATCCCGCGCGCTAATTGGTCACAATTTACGTCTTATAAGTTATACTGTATTTACCTACAGGTTTGTCGATTTGTGCTGCTTCCAAAGATAAATATAATTTGAACGAAAAAAACCTCCGTTATTTATTAAATTCACATGGGTTAAAAACACTAAAGCGATTGTTCGCCTCAGGCTCAGTGAATATCGTGGAAAATCTACCTCGCCACTCGAAGACTCGCGCCTTGGTAAATATTCCCCGAATAATTGTTAAGTGTTAATAGTAATAATAAATGTTAATCATGGGATACCAAATTCAATTACCATTTTCATTACCTTTTTTTAATTTGACTTTCGAATCAGCTAGTTTGTACAGCTTTCGTCAAAAAACGAATAGGAAACCTCCCTTAAATATTTACAGGTAATATATTTTAGTATTTGATTAATAATGGTATTATATCTTTGACAAAATTTACAAAATTTACAAAAGTTTTCTTAAAAAAACGAATGTAAATCTCCCTTAAATATTTACAGGTAATATATTTTAGTATTTGAATAATAATGGTATTAAATCTTTGAGAAAATTTACAATAAAAGTTTCTTAAATTGATAACTATGAAATAATTATATCATGTCATAACCAGTGGTTCTTGGTCACTAGGCATGAAACGTCGTCATTTTGAAGGTTAAAAGGAAGACTTGGAAGGCCGCTGACTGCATGGTACATCGGGTTGCAGGGCCTAATTTGGGCATTATATTAAAAGGCATTGCTGGCCGTCTCGCGTCCCCTGCAAATAGTCCCCTTCACAGTTCCCTGCGCCATCTTGAAAGGTGTGCCTTTGATCGAAGCGAGACGAGAGGTGAACTTGCAATGATAGAAACCTTTTTTAACACCTTGGACAATAATTATTCACATGTCTCTATTATTGCAAGCTCGCCGTTCGTCTCGGCTACCTTTCAAGATGGCGCACTGCGCCAACTGCGGGAACTGTTAAAGGAACTATTCAGCAAAAACTTACGTTATAATTTTGTTAGAAACATTTTAAAGAGACAATGACACGAGAATTTCTTCAACTCGTGTTTCCTGTCCACCTTTCACCCAGAAGTCTTTCGACCTCAAAGACGAATCCCTGCGTCTTTCTCTTCACAATTCCGATCAAAGGAGACTTGCAATGTTTTAAAATCAAAATTGGTACTGCTACTATTTATGCTTCCAGGTGAAGATGACCTGATGACAGCTGGTGAGTGGCTGGAAATGGCTTTGTTAAATTTTGGTGACCCTAAAAATTAAAACAGATCAAATTATACAAGGTTGTACGGGTCAACAATCACGCATAAGGAGAATTTACCTCTTTCAAATCACAGAGAACACACTGTTTATTGCGCATCAAATCACTTCAAAGCACTCACTCCCACAAGGGGTTTCTTGGAGATATAGTCGTGCTTGATTATATGTACGTGAGCTTTGATGCACATTGCTGGCTGTTATCATGACTTTAGATTGATTGGACTACTTTGACGATAATACGGCCATCTTGCCAGGGGGCAAAACAAAACAAAGATGAAAAATATATAGAGTTTCATGTGTTTGTCTTTCTTTTATGGGTAAAGGTGATTGATGTTCCGTCCTAATCAATTCACTAATGTATTGTTTTGTGATAAGAAGTTAATAATAATCGACGTCATTATTGTAACAAAGCTATATTTGCCCCCTGGACGCCCCATAATGCTTGCGATTCAAGATGGCCGTCGTATCTTCGAAGTATCCGTTTGTTCAACGAAAAGAATGCGAAAAACCAATCAACCAATCAAATTTTCTTACCTTCTTGACTGTCTGAGTTTATCGTATCATTTCCCGCACATTCCAAAGATTTAGTTCTCGACCTGAGCCTAGAGTTACTTTTCAAGTTTTTCTCTGGCTTAAACAAGACAATGTACACTTTGGGTACGAAAATAAACACGAGAATGGTAGTAGCGCTGAGAATCATGCTGCAACAGATTGCAATCGTTTCGTAATCCCCTCCCATCCCATAATACATTGGGAGGAAAGCGATCCAGATTACACACGTGGTGTACATACAAAAACCAATGAATTTCGCTTCGTTGAAGTTGAGCGGAGTTTTCCTAGTCTTGAAGGCATAGTACGTACATAGTACAATGAGGATTCCACTGTAGGATAATTGAAAGATGACCGTGAATGTCTGGACCCCACATGTTATAACAACGTACTCACTATTCCCATATGAGTACTGAATTTTTGGTTTAATTACAAATAGCTCGACCAAAGCTATAGCGATCTGAGGAGAGAGGATAAGCGCGGTGATGATGAGTTGGGACTTTGGACTTATGAACGAGGGAGACTTGGTTCCCCTGAAGATCCGGGCTATTCGATTTGTCCTGACCAATAAGGATGCATAGCATAAGCAAAAGGCAAAACCGGTTCCAAATCGACGAAAAATACAAGTAGAAGTGGTTGGTTCTAAGATCAATACAAAAGATATCGAGTAACAAAGTGTGATGCCGATTAAAAGAACAGCAGACAGTTCCCTCCCAGCCGCCATTATCAGTGGCGTCCTCATGAACTTGATAAAGAGAGCGATTACAAAGAGTGTGGCAAAAAGACCAATACTAGCTGCAATGATTATGATCACCACCCACGTAAGGCTTAAATACTTTATCGGTAAATGGTCACAGCCTTGGAACGTTGAATTAGGCTTCTGTCCAGGAGGGCACTGGGTACAAGTGTAATCATCTGTTAGGTATTCGTCCTTTTTACAAGGTACGCAGGTCCAGCAGCATTTGACTTCAAGCATGCGCCGTATATGCCCTGGTTTACATGGTACTCCACAATTAGAGTCGTTGTAAGATGACATTTTGTCACCGTCCAACGTAAGATCTCCTTCGATCCAACTTCCAATTCGATAGTAAATTCCAGACTGTCCGCCAACATTTTCCCTAAATTGCAAGATATCGTACCGTCCTTTGGTGTCCCCATTCTTGTCAAATCCAACTTGCCCATTAGTACCATTAAATGTCACGTTATACAAATACGACATATGCTGAGTGCGTGACGTGCGCCTCATGTTGTCACATATTCCTGGTTTTCCGCCACAGGCGTCTTGATGTAAACTATTCAGCGCATGCCCAAACGCAAACACCGCATCAATTACAAAAGAAACCTTAGAATCATAATGTTCACGAGAAATGTCGGATTCATTGCCATGGCAACGTCTAGTAAATGGTACATCGGAAGTATTACTTAGCCTACACCGGAAGTGGTTTTCCCAGTATTCCTTAAACCAAGGATTTCGAGTATTGTTCTCAGGCTTCAACGAAAAGAAGTAGTCATAAAACGGTGTAAGGCGTTGACGTTTAGTTTTTAGTTCTATCGAAATAGCACCATTAGCCACGTCTTCTAAACCACGAAGATGTATAAACTTGGATCCCCAAAAATCCGAAGCCAGCCAAATAAAATGTTTGTTTCGATTTTGGCGCTTGGCCGCTGACAAGACGGCGCGGATATCATCGCTGGCGCAAAACAAGACGACCACACGCACGTCGGGTTTCCTTAGGAAGTTTTTGATCAATTTATCATAGTCTTCGGGCTTCATATTGCTTTCTAATTGGTACTGATAAACAGTGCATATGTTTGAACTGAGTGCAAACTTCTCGAAGCTACGCATACCACCTTCACCGTAACTCCCAAGTGAGTTTATAGCATAAACTGCTGACCAGTTCATACTGTGGATGATGTCCACAATGGCTTGGGCCTGGAACGAGTCAGGTGGTACCGTACGAACAAAGTAGTCAAACCTGTTTTTGTCGCTTAGTTCAGAGCTTGTTGCCGAGTAACTGATCTGGGGTACGTGGAATAGTCGAAGTAGACTAGCAACCTGTTAAAGAGAGAAATAATGTAGTCATTCTCAATGCAACAGCCCCCATGCACCAACAACGACCCTAATAACTGGTGCATGCATATAGACCGTTTCCTCAAGGTTGCGTGCGCATCCAAATTTATGGAACTTGATCGACGGGCCACGACACCAGAACACGAGTATTATCATGCATTTCTATGAAATTTCAAAAGTCGATTTGACTTCTCAATTGTACTGAATTTGCGTTTTTCGCAGTTTTGTGGCCCGTCAAGTTGGATGCGTAAACAACCTTGATAAAACGGTCTATTGAAATGTCTTATATCGACTCTTACCTGAATGGCCAGTGAGCTGTACGCTGGACCAACGACCCCCACTAATATAGGTCCTGTGTTGACATCAGGTGGTTCATTTCTGCTGCAGATCTCCTGTTTGTTGCGCAAGGATTCCAAGAGGAAGTTTAGACATTGTTCCAGTCCAGTATTGACCGTCTCACAGTCGTCACGGATATCAACACCAACTGAAATGTTTGGAAGAAGATTCTTGTCTTGGTTCATCTAAACAAAGATAAAGTATAATTGCCTTTAGACTTTAGCCTTTAGACTAAAAATGTCAAAGTGATAGAAGTGCTGATACTTTATGATGCTTACCATATCTAGAGCAAATAGCATCGCCTCGAGCCGGTGAATCCCAACCTCTTCGTTCAGTTTTCCACAGGACGAATCGTCGCCCTTTGCATGAACAGAAAACAACCCTCCGAGCAATAGATCTCCTGGTATTTTCACCGACAATCGTGGTTCTGTGTTGTAAGCATGTGTAGAAATCTTGAAAGGTAGATTATCATCTAATGCGAAAACGACGATGTTTCTGCCAAACAGACGTACGCAGGCCAGCAGAACAAGTAGTCTTCTCATGGTAAAATCTATTTCAGTGTAACTTGGAAGCTATAAGAAAAAAAATACGCCATAAGTCAGTATAGATTAAGATATGACTCAAGGAGAGACTGAGAATAGTCTGGTTAAGTAACGACTTCAAGCTATAGACCTTACTATTTTCAGTGGCGGATCTAGGGGTGGGTTTTGGGGTATGCAACCCCCCCCCCCCCCTATGAGAGCCATCGTGATTTTTTTTCTTCATGACAACACCAACAGCATCGCGAGTTTTATTAAAACAGGGGTGCCGAACACATTTCGCCCGCTTTTTTTTCTATACGCCGTGTGTGGGACCTGAAACAACCATGCTCGCCTGCAGCAAATGATCGTCTCCCTAACCCTTTGGTCTGCTATATATCTCCACCACCTCAATCAATGCTACAGACCCCACTTTGAAAAAATCCTGGATCCGCCCCTGATTTTAACCTTGGAAATATAGTACGAAAGTCTAACAAGCCCAAAAACTACGCCAAAATGAAAGTTAGGAACTACCCAAGCATAATAAGCATTTTCGATATTCTGAAAACTTGGTAGTTGTGATCTAGCTACACCGCGCTAAAATTTTGATTTTTGCTGCCGTCAATAAAAAAGCGTAATCAGTGGGAACCTTTTACATTCTTGACCGGCTGAAATAAAAACCATGCGACTTAACGAGAAGCGGTTGAAATGTAGAAGTACTCAGAATATCGAAAACCGAAGTAAAAATAATCAAAAAGGCAAAGTGCAATAGGGGGAATCCAAACTACTCTAGAGTCAAAGGGGTGGAGAGCCCCCAACCTCTTACAGCCATTCTCAATCACACGCGCCGCTCTAGCAATTGTTTCAGTCGCGACGAAGAAGGTTTTGGTGGACGTCAATCAAGGCGTTTCCATGACATTTTATAGGCACGTGCCCTTATAGCTTTGTGTTTTCCGACAATATTATGGAAACGCCTTGTGATTGACGTCCACCAAAACCTTCTTCGTCGCTAGAGGGCGCGTGTGATTGAGAATGGCTGTAAGTGGAAGCCCTCCCGCCTACTGTTCATCGATATATATGAATTAAAAATAATTAAACTAAACAATCTAAACTAAATAGATTTGGAAGTTCGCAAATTTGATTACTGGATCTAATCTATAAACTCATTAAGAGAGGAAATCCCCATTGTGAGGTGAATAACTTCTATTAGTGGTTCATTTTCGAACTTCCCCAGCCAACAGAGACGACAGCTGCTAAAGAAACGCCAACAAAAACGTTAAACTCATACATATAATTGGGCTAGGACTACGAACATTAACACTAGTGTTCGTTTTTATCTTCTTTTAAATAGCGTGAAAATGTTTTTTTTGATGTTATCGTAAGCTAAAACTGGATTCAGGAAAGAGCAATGGAACAATGGGGCTAAGAATCAGTTATAATATATATGCAACCTCCAATCTCTGCTTTGTCCTTTAATTCTCAGTGCGTTTGAATACAGTTCCCTGGCTTTGATTCGACTTTGGATTTTTTTGTTTGTTTGTTTTATCTACGACGGAAGCACTTGAGCGCAAACATCAAAAGTATCAATTTTTATTCTTGCGCTTGTAGTATTGTGGTTGCGGTGCTCTACGTTGTAATCTTCAGTTTTCTATAGTCGACTCCTTGTCTTGGACGAATACAAGGGGTTCTGATTAGCTTGAGGCAATGAGAAAACCCAGTTAAAGTAATGCGTAATAAGTCTCAGGCCTTGATTTTTCAAAAAACAAAAAAACAAAAATTCATTCGAAACACTAGACATATACTGCACTATCTCGCACTACCTACCATTCGCGTACATTATGACGATTTGTGAAATAAATAAAATAAAATAAAAAACCGCGCGCCCAATAATGTCGTATGCGATAAATATTATCATCATCACTATAACATATCAAAAATCACCAAGACTTAAAAGAAATTGATATTGATTGTACTTTCCTTCAACTATGCGTGGTTAGCTTAGCTTTGATAATCCAATAAAGTATTTAGTTAAAACCAATTCACCTGCAAAGTAAAATATCTTATCATCAAAACCAATTTAGCTCCAATCTGTCCTTTTCCGACTCGTGCGATGGTAAAAACTAAGTGATCAGTTTTAATTTAAATATATAACATATTGTAATAATAGTTATTCCGTGTTGACTAGAGAAGTTTGTAGTCCCACGCAGTGCTGAATGTCCCATGCCTACATTTTCCTAACTTTTATAATATATACTTTTATAACATGAATGCGCGACATTCGCGTTGGTTGAGACAACCTATACAAAAACTTTACAACCCATACAGCTTTGATAATCCAATAAAGTATTAAGCTAAAACCAATTCACCTGCAAAGTAAACTGGATATCTTAATCATCGAATAAATWAAAAAAAATTTAGCTCCAATCTGACCTTTCGAGACTCCTGCTTTGGTAAACTAAGCTATTTTAATTTGAAAATTCAAAATTTCATATAAAAGCTAATTCGCGTTGTCTATAGAAGTGTGTAAGCCCACGCAGAGCTGAAGTCTCCACGCCTACCTTTTTCCTAACTTTCATAATATAAATGCACGTCATTCCCATTGACGGATACAACCTATACAAACAAAAATTGGCAACTCAGCTTGTAAATGAGTACAGACAAGAAAGAATTGCCTTAATATCCGATATGCCTAACAGGAGATGTGTACATGTCAACGATCCATGTCCGGTCAGAAATACAGTACGTTCGAAACCTGATTACAGAAAAACAATTCTAGTTATGAGATTCTTATAGATAATAAAAGTAAAAGGAAAACACGAATGAAATTCCGGTTTTCTAAGACAATAATGCATCAGCTTATCCAGTATTCTATAAAAAGGAAGAGGTTGATATTTGTAATAATAAATGAATATGGTTTGTTTATCTTGGTATCCTAATTATGCTCCTCTATTCAATGCCGGTCTTTATAAATATTCAGGAAATAAAGCCTGATATTAAGTTTTTTTTATAAGAAATTTTATTTCTGCTTGTACGAAAATAATTCACAGTACAGTACTTAAAATTTAGAGTTCGGACTTGCTAAAGTGACTAATAAGTGTTCCTTTTCAGCAGCTAACATTAGTACCTCGAGAGCTACACGATATGACGAAATATCCCAGCAAAAAACCCGAGGCTAGCTTATTAGTTGATGGTGAGAAAGATTCACCAAACCACAGAAATTCAAGTCAATATTATTGACTATACCATAGGAAAAAGGACGTGTTAGTTATCGTATAATAATAGCAATGTAAGTGCGTGATCAAAATATGATTACCTCTTCTAGCAAATCATAACAGATATTTATCGCATTCGACTGAAGCGTACATGCTCTTTACTATTATTTATAATTCCTCTTTAATGTACTTCTCTAGCTCAAAATACTCTTACGAAAACTGATATCACTGGAACAGTACTCGGTGATTCTAGTAAGTGGTTTGGCCTGTCACATAATTATATATACGAATAGGTAAACTAACATAATCTTCGCTGATTCCGAAATGCAATATCACCCGCAAAACTAATATCTTTGATAAAATATGAAATCTTACCTTGGAGAAAACCAGATATTCAGAGGTAATTGTGATCAGCACATGGATAATTTTTGAGTCAAAACACAGTGATGCTACCTTAATCTTTGATTACCAGTCATTTCAGGTTCCATCAGTTTTAGCTCTTGGAAAACACTTKCAAGGAGTAAGTCAAATCTACGACTTAGCAGACGAATGAGTTGCATTTATACATGGAATATAGTGTTGTATATCCCTCATATATTATACTTTGGAAGACATTATTTGGTTTTAAGTGACTCGTCAAGTACGCCGAGTGTATTAATTACTGTAGCCCTGCATCATGTGATACTTAAAGTAACACATTTGACACCGGATGTGAAGAGTCAAAGATCACCACTGCCCTCCCCTGAGATGAAGGTTTTGCGTAACTTTAGGAGGGATGGGGAGTTTTCCAAATAAAATGACATCTTTAATTTCTTGATTTTTACCTTCCTCGCTTCCTCTCTTGCTGCATTTCTTTTAACAGATTCCTTCCTATACTTCCTGTTCCTTTCTTAGGTTTTCACTCATTTATTTATTTTCTTTTAAGAATCTTTATTATGTATATTTTTCATCTTTTTGTAACATCTTTATTTTCATTACTAACTGTGTAAACATTCAGACAAGGGACACTTCACTTAGGCTGTATTCACTATATATTCCATAGGGTGGGGGGGCAGGTGATTTTTCAATACTATTTAAAACGTGGGCTACCTCCTTCGTTCTCTGAAAAGAAAAAAAAATAGATCTACCCATTGAACTCACTAATAATTTTCAGATCCCCCCTAAATTTTACCTGCCCCCATTTGGCACAATTAATACAGACTATACTTGTCAATACTTGCTAACAAATAAAGATTTCGATTGACAATTCAGAAGCCAATCAGATTAGACCATAATCAGTAACATAAAGCACACCTCAAGTCACCTTGCTTTGTTCCCACAAGCTGATTAATATTACATCTAAGTTATCTGTCAGATTTACTGCTTTCTCCTGATTAACATAACTAGTTCACTTTGGAAGTGGTTCGAGCCATTTTCCCTTCACAGTAAGGATTTAAGTTTCCAATCTTTTGAAGCTTTCAAAGTAAATTTAAGTTAAATTTGAAACTGAAACACCCGGGGGGGGGGGGGGGGGGGG